TCTGCTGCTGTCCGCACGCCCCCCCCAGCCACTCCAGAACCCAAGCTTGAAGTGAGGCCACTAAGCAGGAAAGTGCATGCAGCAAGGGGGCCTGGGGAGAGAAGCAGGGGTGGGGTGGGGGGAGGTTTTACTGCAGGAGGTAAAAGCAATATGAAGGGCTTGCCTGGGAGGGAGTGGCCAGCAGCCAGATGCTGGCTCTTCAAAGGCATTTGATGCATGCTCTCATCCCTCACTCTCCCCTGGAGCATTTCGACCTCAGTCTGAGCCTCTGATCACCTCTCTGCAAGCAAGAATAGCCATGCTTCCTCTAGACTTCCGCAGTGGGTGCATGTGCCGAGTACTAAAAGAAAAACTGCTGTATTCAATAGCCTACAATGAAAGGAAGCCAGAGCGAAGAAAAGCTCCTAAGGAAGGACATTCTCTTCTGTAATTAGAGGCACAGTACGTATTGACAGTATGACTCTCATTTTAGTGTCTTCCTGCAGGACAGCAAGAATGAAAACCTTTTGACAAAGACCGAACTGCCTGGAGGACACTCATTGCCCCATTTCAGCTAACATTAATGAAAACTAAATTCTCAGATTGCAAAGTCCTTCCTTACAATTTTGACATGTATAAATGAGCCTGATAACATTGTTACTGTTTACCACGAAAGTGGTAAATAGCTATAAATAGGATTTTTCTATTAATAAGACACATTTTCTGAAGACCCATCAGCAACCTTCTCTTCCCAAAAAGCCAAATAGCTTGAGGCCTCCCCTCCCACTGCAAAATCAAAGTATCCTCTTCATTACAATATCTGCTCTTTGTTACAATTAAACAATGAGTTCAAAGCCAGTAGGGAATGGGATTTTATTTCCAAATTTCTGAAAGATTAATACAAACAATAAAAGTAGACAAAACTAAAAACCTATTTAAAAAGTTAGTTGTCCTTGTAAAAGTGCTCCATAAAAAACTGAAGGCAAACGACCAAGCACATTTTAGTAAGTTTTGTGTATTGCAAACCTTAACAATTATGCATGCAACTATCTTTGGGTGTTCATGGATTTTTAGTGTCTGTTTGGTCACATTTTAAACATGTCAAGGAAAACTCCACCAGAGCAGTACCTTTACAAATACAATTAGGAGAAGTATTACAGATTAGAAGTTTTGTATGAAATATGGCTTAGGAATCAAGCCTGTGCTACACACTGTGCCCAGCAGTTTCTAGTATGTGTCATTTATGGATTTAGATGCACTTGGAAAAAAAAAACCTGCAGTTGGTGCCAGGTCTTGCTAATGGAAGCAAAATTCCCCCTAAGAACATTATTTCAGTACTAACAGCATTTCTTTTTATATGTTAACCATTCACTTTTTGGATGTTTTATTTTGGAAAATACAAATAGGTTTTGCTGTCATTCCAGTGTAACAGTTTACCAAGATAGGAGTAAGTAATTTGGTAAAAATTAATGTGCTTTTCTTTCCTAAAATGTAAACTTCTCAAGTAATATTTGTACAGTTAGCATAGTGCAGTAACAATGGTGACAATTATGAAAAGAATAAGAGTTAACATTAAAAAACTTTAAGAACATTAGCAAAAGATAGTGAAATACAAATACACAAGTACTAACAGATAAATATCTAGGACATTGTTTTAGCCACACAAAAGTTAGGACACAGAGAGAGACTTTTCTTGTGAAGGAAAGGCAGTTGTTATTCATGTCATGCTTGAAGGCAGCTCTCTGATGACCTTCCCTATAAGAAGAAAAAAAGGTTTATTAAATGCTGTCTTCCAAAGTTGACATATTTCTCTTACAAATTATAACACAAGAGCTCCTTTGCTCTCAGAAAAACTGAATAACCACTTTCCTTTGTCAGATGTTGGCATCCTTGAATATTATAATTTTTTTTAATTGGCTTTTTTACTTTGCTCTCATTTTTTATGATCCTAAGATAACTAAATAATAATAATAAACTAGATAATGAATCTATCAGAAGATGACTAAATGATGTCTTGGGCTGAGCTGTAAGTTTCTAAAAGTATCATAAATTAAGCATCAAACTCATTTGAGAAAATATTTTGTATCCTGTCTCCATGATGTAATGGAACTTGAATCCTAGAAACACATACATACACACCGAGACACAAGAAAAAGCAGAAAGGCTGCTTCAGTAACAGAAGAACACATGCAACAGTCAATACAAATTTTATCTTATTTGCAGAAAGAATTAAGGGTAGCACCTAAATTAAGAAAATCTTCTGATTGTGCTTCCCCCTCCACCCAAGTTTTTCCAATGAGTATCTCAGGCTCAGTTGTTCTCTCTTCAGGTTCAATCCCGTTTTGTCAAACCTACGTAGCAACAATCAAAACCATGCTATTGATGAGGCACAAGCACAACTGCAAGCTCAGGAACCCAGGCATTGGGAAAGGGAAGATTTTACAAAAGTACTCCATCTTCACAGAATCACACAGAATGGCTGGAGTTGGAAGGGACCTCTAGAGATCATCTGGTCCAACTCCCCTGCCAAAGCAGGTTCACCTAAAGCAGCACCCAGGCGGGTTTTGAATATCTCCAGAGAAGGAGACTCCACACCCTCCCTAGGCAGCCTGTTCCAGGGCTCTGCCACCCTCAGAGCAAAGAAGCTCCTCCTCATGTTCAAGCGGCACTTCCTGTGCTCCAGCTTGTGCCCATTGCCCCTTGTGCTGTCACTGGACACCACTGAGAAGAGCCTGGCCCCATCCTCTTACACCTGCCCTTTAGATATTAATAAGTGCTGATAAGGTCCCCTCTCAGTCTTCTCCAGGCTAAAGAGCCCCAGGTCTCTCAGCCTTTCTTCGTATCAGATATGCTCCAGCCCTCTCATCATCTTTGTAACCCTCTGTCGGACTCTCTACAGTAGCTCCCTGTCATCTTCTAGTTTAAGTTCTGCCTTAAAAAAAACATTCATTTTCACTTTGATAGCACTCTCAAAGAAAGAACAGAATTCAGTGGTTTTTCCTCTCTCCGTAGGTCTTTCAGGTCTTTCGCAGCAACTGCTTTTATTTTTTCTTTTAAAATAAGAGTAACCTCTTCTGAATATCCTACTTCCACGTTTTTCTGCCATGCAGAAGAAATAACACTTTCCAAGAAAAGTTATGCTGTGATCCTGCCCAAGACTAAGGGTGCATATGGCATTTCTTCCTCCTGCTGCAACCACCGGTATCTGTCTGACAGGTGGGCGAGACAAAAGCAGGAATCATGGAATTGGATCCCAAAGACACGCAAGCGCTGGACGGTCACCCACCCACCCTGCAGGTGTTATGCCAGTACAAGCAATGCAGAGTGCTAAGGCAGGCTTCAGGGAGTATCTCATCTTTTAGACCTGTGCTGATACAGGTTACGAAGGATGAGATTACACATTGCCTCAGCTCTTCCCTGCCTCCACTGCTTTTGCTGCTGTACAAACAGAAAGAGGCTAAGGACAGACACAGCTAAATGAACTGCAATATGACACTGAAGACAAAATGTATTTTAACAAGGCTCTTGCTTAAGCTGTGAGTTAGTCATCAAAACACATGCAACTGCCACGGCTTTGTCTTACTTCTTCAAGCTGGGTATGGACTGGTTTTTATGTCTGGCTGTGTCAAACACAGCCATGTTTCACAGAGTTTTTATTATTTTGGATGCTGCTAATGACCCTGGATCTGCTCAAACACAAAAATCAACTTAACCAAAAAAAAAAACCCACCCAAACCATAAACAAAACACATCTAGAAAGAGCTGTAAAAAAGAGACATACCTCAATTGCCACACCTAACAGAAACAGAAAACAATCTGTAAAGCCAACAGGGAAGTGATGAACACTTCGCTACCAAGAACTCAACATTCAAACAACTATCACCATGTGCCATTGTCCCTCCTAGGGCTTGAGTTTCAAATCAGAGTTGTGGTCATGGTACCTGTGACTTTATTACCTGATTTCAGAGTAGAGCACAGGATCGGGGTTCTCGAAAGGGATTGCTCCCCGCAGGAACCCCAACAAGCAAAGCATCTTTGCAGGCATTTTGCATACAGTACTGCTGGAGTTCTGCAGCTGCCTGAGAGACCTGTGTAAAGGAAAAGAAAAACAAATCCAGAGAGGAAACTAATTCATTCACAAGCATCTATTAGGCATTTCCTCTTGAAGAACCATTATCAAACAGAGCTGAAGAGCAGCCAAGTCAGCTCTTGGATTCTTAAAGACCAAGTAAATCAGCACAGACATACATTTACAAAGCCCTGTTCAAATGCACATGACATACTACGCCAGTGGTGAGCCAGAGGAGCGTAGAGGACTGAGGTGTAAGTGCAATGGAAAAATGCATAGGGCTGTGACCACAATCTACTGTACTGTTTTTGCATTTATATTAGAACTCTTATATCCTCAGATAATTTACAAAAACTATTTTAATTTCCAAACTGTTAAGCAACACAGAGCATAACAAGGAATGAAAGCAAAAAGGTAAGGATGAAAAGCTTTTTAAGTCCACTGCCACCTTTCCCTGGTAGTGAAGTGAGAGCTTCAAATCCACACCCTGGCCCCCAAAGAGGACAGTCCAGACCTGCAGAACAAGCCCAGGAACCCAAAGGCAAGATGCCTCCAGCACTAAACTCCCCTGCTCTCCCTGTGGACAGCAAGTCAGTCATGTGTCTGTATTTTTGAAGGAAAACATAGGGGAATTCCTGATTTCTTAGGCACACATCGGTAACATCACCAGGGAACTGTAAAAATCCATGCTGTCTGCTGCATTTTTTAAAAGAGGAAATACCGAGCATATTGGTAGGAATAAAAATTCCTCTCTGACTTCACCTCTGCCCTTACGACAGGATTCCTGAAATACTGATTTTTTTCTCCTACACAACTTTGCCGTATTGCCAGCAGAGACAACAGCCAGAAGGACCACCCACACTTCCCAGCCTCCTGATTGAAGGGGCCACCCAGGAGACCTGATGGGATCTTGGTTCTAGGCCATCCCAGCTAACAGCGTCTGAAAGCACGTGGGAGATCTGGCCTAGAGCAGGGTTTGGTTTGCGATTTCACTGCTGTCCCATTCACTGCCTCCCAGCTCTCCTCCAGAACACTCATCCTGGTTACTGCCTGAATTTACCCGGCAGCTGCCAGCATTTCAGAGGGTTGCTGAGAAGCACTTTCCCACAGCCTCCCAGGTTCTCCTGATCAGAGTACAGGCAGAAGCATCCGCAGCAAGGATCCCTGCTAGTCAGTGGGCTTTTTCACTCCTCCCTTCCTTGAAGAGAACCTCTTTCTGGAGGCTGCACAGGTCTCCCACCCTGCCCAGCTCCTTGGACCCCCTACGGCATTAGCAGCCTTGCCTCAACCACAGTGCTGACCCCTTGCTGGTACCTGACTACGCACCACACAGCTATCAGACAGAGGTGCCACTTGCCAACACCGACCAGGCCAAGGCTGCGTGGAGCTTTTTCCTGGGAAAATGAGCAGAGAGTTGCTCAGGGCTTGGTTTGACCTACAAGCGCAGCACAGCTAGCAGCTCCTTACCGTGTCTCCTTGCACTTTGCTGATGAGCTCTGCAACAGGTACTGAGCTATGTATATCCTGGTGCTCCTCGAAAGATACAAACTTGATTTTTGGCAGCTGTGTGAGAATTATCCATATGGCAGCAGACCGTTGTTCTGGGACAGATTTGCCTACTCTTAGCCCTGCCTATGCCCCTATAACATTCTTCACTCCTTCGGTTCACATAGAAAGTACGAGGGTTTCTGCTGTATTTCAACATAGGACAAATACACTCCCTGCGGCAGCCTCCTGCATCCAAGATGTGTGTGGGTACTTCTTTCCTACTTGGTTTCCTCTTTCTGAAAATATTTTTCCTGTCTGCTTTTTTAGCTGGCAGGGTAAACAAAATCACCATTGGAACTCCATAGTATGAGATGTATTTTTAAAAATCCTTTCATATCCAGCTTCCTTTGAAAATACATTGTCTATTCAAAGTAGCAGAAACAATGTTCTCTCCTATCTCACTGTCTGCTAAAACTGATCCAAGTGCTTTTCGACTGGCTGAATATGCTCCTGTTTTTACACTGCAAGTCAAGAAACCCAGATGATGCTTTTTTCAAGTCACATTTTTAATCATGCTTCATTTCACTTGTGAAAAAGACATGAACAGTTCCTAGAACAGCAAACCTGGAAAGAGACTGCTGTGCACAATGCTGCAAGACAGAGGAGACTGAGGTCTCAAGGCCAAGCCTTTCTGGAGTACAAGCAAACGTATAATATGCAACCTTCAGAAGTCCAGCTCCAGAATACATTACCACGACAAAGTGACCCCAAATAAACTACAGACTATACTTTTTAGATACCCTCCCTGCCCCAACAAAAAAAAAAAAGTGTGGGGGGGTATATGCCTCAAAGTGTGCAGGAACCGAGATCCAGGCTATTGCTGGCGATATAAAGCAACAGAAATGTCTGGTCAATCACTTCTGTGTTAGGCAATATCCCTCTTGCCACAAGAGTCTACATTTCTCTTCTGCACTGGGCCATTTCTCACGGATACCCACACATCATTGCAGTGATAAACGACAGTCACTTTTAGTGCAGCAAATACCCACAGATTCAGTATTAGCTAAGAAAATTTAGTAATATTAATGAATTGATCAGGATGATGTCCCAAAGCGACAACAGTTTCACCTTGCAAGGCGCACTTCAAATTTTCACCAGCCCAGGACAGGAACAGTGAGAAAAGGCATCCTAAATGACTCTTAAAATCAATTAGCTAAGTTCCTGCAGCTCAGTATACTGGCACTTTCGTCAGACTGAGGAAGCTGCTGTTTTGTGGCGGGGCAGAGAAAAATGGCGAATGCACGGAGGTGATGTGAAGAGGAAAGCACAGGATACATATTAACCTGACCTTCCTCACTTCACAGCCTGTGCTGGATTTTGTGCGTGGCTGGAAAGCACGGTTTTCGCAAAGCAGCTGCGGGCCCCCCCACACCTGCTGGGAACCAAGAGCTGTCTGGGACAGGTCTGCATGGGCGAATTTGGGCTGCGAGAGCGAAAAAAAAAAACAAAAAAAAAACCAAAAAA